CCCGTGAATTATAGTAATTTAAAATATTGTGTTGCAAAAAAAAGAAGATTTGTAATCCAAATAACTGCTGGATAAAAAGAGACATAAAGCAGAGCCAATTGAAAGTAAATTTATTTGCCTTTAAGATGGAGTTCGGCTCTCGCAATTAACCACTCCACAATTCCTGAAGGGTACAAAAAGTGTGACACTAATACAATACTCTAGAATGATCAAAGATAAATCAATATACTATCTTGCATCAACTCTTAATCGTTTGCCTTAGGATGGAGTTTGGCCTTCGCAAGTAATCACTGCACAATTCCTAAGGATCATGTTTGGTGAGCTGGACTGGACTAGATATATTCAATTAAAATAACCCTTCAATTTTGTCGTGTCAAGCAAGGGAGATTTCGTAATTATAATTTTGCGTCAGCAAGACAAGTTGGGGGTATACAAAAGAATGAAAAAGAACAATTATTGTAGCCTGTGAGCAAGTCCCATACCATTTATACAAATCCTCTTCAAAACCAGGCAGATATATAACTGAAGCTGATTAATTATAGATTCATAAAATTCTTTGTATGTTTTTGTGTATTTATTTGACAAATTTGGAGCAAATTTAATGACGGTTCTAGTGATGGTTATGTGAATTTGGCTAGGTGGTAAGGGTAGTGTGTCCACCCTCCTTGTACTCAAGTTCGAATCTTCTTCCCGTGAATTATAGTAATTTAAAATATTGTGTTGCAAAAAAAAGAAGATTTGTAATCCAAATAACTGCTGGATAAAAAGAGACATAAAGCAGAGCCAATTGAAAGTAAATTTATTTGCCTTTAAGATGGAGTTCGGCTCTCGCAATTAACCACTCCACAATTCCTGAAGGGTACAAAAAGTGTGACACTAATACAATACTCTAGAATGATCAAAGATAAATCAATATACTATCTTGCATCAACTCTTAATCGTTTGCCTTAGGATGGAGTTTGGCCTTCGCAAGTAATCACTGCACAATTCCTAAGGATCATGTTTGGTGAGCTGGACTGGACTAGATATATTCAATTAAAATAACCCTTCAATTTTGTCGTGGTTTTAAACCGAGACTCTTTTTCTCTTCGGACGAAATTTGGCCCTCGCAAGTAACCAACCACTCCACAATTCCTACGGGAAAAAAAAGTGTGACAGTAATGCTCAGCAGCGAATAACCCTCGCTTCAATTACTGCCGTGGTTTCGAGTCGATACTTTTGTTTTCCCTTAGGAAGTAGTTTGGCCATAGCAAGTAACCACTCCACGATTCCTAAAGGAAAAAAAGTGTGACAGTAATAGTCAACATCGAATAACCGTTGCTTCAATTGCTTTCAATCACACATGCCTCGCTAATGGTTGGTTTGGATGGAAACATCTAATGGAATTTTCAAACGGACCGCAAGTGCTTGAAGAGATTTGTCCAAATCAAGAATCTTGGTAGTGTATTTATCCTTTTTGTCGCTGGTCCATACACGAACATTGCACCACTTCCTAGCCAGCTCTACACCCTGCTCTATTTGTATTCTGAACCCTTTTAGTTCCTCAAATGCGATCCCATCCCATACCTTTTCTTCAACCGCCCGATTCTTTGCAAACCATTCCCCGAGAGCGGTTTTAGATAGATAATAAATCCTTTCCCAAAAGTTCTGAGCAAGTGATGAGGTGCGGTTCTGCATCGTTTTATAAACAGCACCGCTCAGCGATTCAACTGCTGCTTCCAGGGCAGCACGTTCCATGGAGGACGCCACTGTCGCATTTACAAGATTCAACACCAAAACCAAATTTAATTATTAAAAGTATGGAACCAATCCTTAACTTAATTACTTAGTCAAGAAATTAGTTTCCTTTGTCAACTTGCACCAGACCAAGCAGCGATTTGATCGCGGTGTCTATCTTCCTTGCCAAACCCTAGGTCTCCTTCCCATCGCCACTTCAACAAGCTGGTCAGTTGTTTTACTTGTCCAAGCCGACATCTCCTCGACATCACTTTTGCAATCGTCAAGTTGGTCAGTGTGTTTCCTTGCCAAATCCAGGGTCACCTTGACATCGCGTTTGCAATCGTCATGCTGATCCTTTTGATCCATCGCCAAATCCGAATTAACATCGCTTTTGCAGTTGTGAAGCTGTTGAGTGTGATCCTTTGACAGAATCAAAGTCTCCTTGACATCCCTTATCCCTTGCACGTTCAGTATCTCCAACTGTCTTTTACAAGAGTCTTCAAATTCAACAAGTTGGCTGGTGCAAAGAGGCGTCCTTAAGCTCCACGCACTAACCTTGTTTAGCTCGCCAGCCAGATCTTCACCCTCCTTCATTTTGTCTTTGAGATCTTTTATTTCCTCGTCTCCAATAAGCAACTTGGTATTCTGGTCTTCAATCTCTTTGATCAATGGTTGTTAAGACTTCATCCTGGACTCTGAGGTTTGTGCGGCAGGGCTTGAAGTTGAAAGCCTTCCGTACCGTTTCCCAGAGGAAATCGCCCCCGGTCCTACCCCTGCTCCAAGAACAGCCCCTCCCACAAACTCCCCTGCATTCACCATTCTTGAGATGATGATGATGATGATCTTGATTAATTTTAATGAACCTGTAACAAAACCCACCCCAACACCAAAAGATGATCTAAACTTTTAAGACTAGTGACTTGCTGATTAAGAAAACAAACAAATCGATCAACAGACTCAAAACCTATCAATAATACATACAAAAGGAAACAGTCTTCTTCTTCATTGAGAGAGAGAAAAAAATTTGTATTGTTTGTGAGGTTAGCCTCAGCATTTCATCTATTTTATATTCATCAACTGGGGAAGCTTACTGGAAATGTCCGAGTTGGAGGCCACTCAATTTACCAACGTACGTACCCGGCAAATGCACGAGGTTTATGGGAAGGGGAATGCTAGCAACCTTCTCTCTAATCTTCTCCTTTGGACATTCTCTTTTTTTTGCTTGACATGTGTCATTCTCCTTACACTTAAAATAATGCCATTAATATATTATACAAGCTAACTTTTGCTTTCCAAGTTTACCCTTATTACATGTATTCAATTTAT